CTTTGAAACAAAATTCAATCCAACATCGACGTAAGTGTCGAAAAGATTCATCAAATACTCCTAGACAACAAAAGGTATAAACAATGTGTCAACAGCAAACAAAGCATTTTTTATTGTCACAGATTGCCGTAATATGCTAGTGGGGGTTTACCTGAGCATCTTCTTTTAATTTCCCGCCAACTCGTTGCAACCAGGAGGTGACGTAAGGCTTCCAGCCCAGCTGACCTGGATCAACGTATACCATACCACATCTAAAAAAGAACAATGTCCAATGGGCCTTAATGATCACGAATATCTCAAAGAGCATATAGATAATTTTTGTACCACATTCCTATACCTGCTAACAGTAGCCGGAGATGCAACAGCCAGATCTTGTACTTCAAACAACATGTGAATGGTAGCATTAAGTTTGATACGTTCACTATTGGCAAGGCAAAGCATTTTATTGTCATCTAGGACAGTGTTCATGTTTTCTATCCACAGAGCGTCGACTGGACCATCACAAACGATCCATTTGTGGTCTTCAGAGGTGTCCTGCGCAACAAATGGGGAAAATGAATTAAAGGCCAGAAACTACAGAGTTTCCGAGGCCAGAAAGTACTGAGTTTCTGAGGCCAGAAACTATTGTTTAAAAAAACACTTTATTATAAACTAAGAGACTAAGAAGTATAGGTTTACAACGCTATATATGTGCTAAGTTTCTGTGATTACAGTTAGGAATTTTGAATTTGGTAAATTCAATGTTTTGAAGGATTTCTAAGAAAAGTTTGGGTCAATATTTAACAACTTCGACAGTGTAAACAAGCCTTAAATAATAACTTAATGACTACAATAAACTGCCGTGGTTTGTTTCTGAGCTGGCTAATTATTTTACAAACTTACCTGAACACATTGACGTACTGTTAAAGCCATCAACCCATCTTGCCACTCTAAAGTCAATTTATTCACCTCTCCATACAGTTCGCCCATACTGATAGACTTAAAGGAAAACACAAAAGAAATTCAATATCTTACGTGTAGTTTTATGCAATATATCTATTGCATAAAACAGTGCAGCGATGAAACGTACTCAAAATAATTCCAGTCATTACCTTAGGGTTAAGAACGTAAGTATGCACTGGTAAATAATCAGGATCGTCGATTCCTTGTGCATGTAGACTTGTTAGAGTCATCTTCAGAGTCTATAGTAATGAAAATAGAAAATCAATTAATAGCTTTATCTTTTCTATCGTCCGACAAGGCGGGAATTCTTTGGATGACTGTACATTGTTCTTGAAATAGCGATGAAAAAGATGGCAGCGATGTTACCTCATAACAAGTAGTTTTTCCACCACCAGTTGGTCCAACCAACATAACACCATGACGCACCAACATTGTTTCATACAGTTGAATGGTTTTCTTCACCATTGCTGGTACAACCTACAAAACAATACTGCATCAGATTGGTCCACTTCGGTGTGGTTTCTCCACGTAGTATCTACACGTCTACAACATTTCACTGTATACCTATGTTGCAGAAAACTCAACACTTAACTATAATAAAAGTTGATCGAAAGAGAAAAGGGCAAATGTAACCATTTCATATTTGGCATCTTTATTTAACGAACCTGCAACTTTTGTTCAAGTAAACAATCTTCAATTGTTAATTGTAATTTCCCATAATCGTGATCTGGAATTTCTCGTCCAGGGAACAG